CATCTTGCAAACAAGGACACACAAGCCCCTTTAAAAAAAAACTTTGCATTGATGTACAATTACAAGAGATTCCCTTATCAATGGAGCTGGACACTGGGTCCGCTCTATCAATTATTTCATACAATACCTTTAAAAGGATTTGCTGCAGTAGTGGCCGTCGAGTCAAACTCAGGCCATTGAACTTAATTCTTACTGACTTTCAAAATTCAAAGGTCAATGTGCTTGGAGAAGCCACACTCAAAGTACAGTGTAAGGTTTTCCAAGGCTTCTTAGATGTGGTGGTTGTTGGGGGTGATCGTACAAGTCTAATTGGACTTGATTAGTTTGAGGCCCTGGAAATCCAGGTGACTGGCCTGAATAGTCTGCAAACTCAAGGAATTGCAGAAGTCTGCAGAGAGTTTGTGGATGTGTTTAGTTCAGAGCTTGGTTCATACAAGGGGCCTCCCATTGCCTTGCGATTAAACCCAAATGTCACACCTATTAGGATTAAGCCTAGAAGGGTGCCCTTCACCCTCAAGGGCAAGATTGATGCTGAACTGGACAAGCTGCTCCAGCAGGGCATCTTGGAACCTGTGGACTCAAGTCCATGGGAAAACCCAATTGTGACACCTTTAAAGGCTAACAAGGAAGTCCGAATTTGCGCAGACTATAAGTGTACTTTGAACACAGTTTTGCAAGAGCATGCATATCCTGTACCAGTAGTGAGTCATATTCTGGCCTCCCTCAAAGGGGGAAAACTGTTTGCAAAACTTGATTTAGTGCAGGCCTATCAACAGCTACCTGTTGATGAGGCAACTGCTGAGGCCCAAACAATAGTGACCCATAGGGGTGCTTTTAAGGTAAAAAGATTACAATTTGGGGTGAATGTTGTGCCTGGCATATTTCAGAGCTTCATGGAGTGCACTCTCAGGGGTATTCCAGGTGTTTGCCCCTACTTCGATGACGTCCTCATCACAGGGGAGTCATCACAGAATTTGGCTGATAGATTAAGGACTGTGTTGCTGAGGTTCTGTCAAGTGGGCCTCAAATTAAAAAAAGACAAATGCAAAATTGATGTTACTTCCACAGAATTTTTAGGTTTTAAAATAGATGCTCAAGGCATCCACCTTGCAAAATCTAAATTGAAGGCCATTCAGGAGGCCCCAAGTCCTAAGTCCAAAAGCGAGCTTCAGGCTTTCTTGGGACCTCTTAACTTCTATCATGCTTTTCTTCCCCATAAGGCTGCAGTGGCTGAGCCGCTACCCCAGCTCTTAGACAAGGAAGCTCCATGGCAGTGGACTAAAGTCCATGACAGGCGTTTTAAGGAGGTCAAAGCCTTGCTCTCATCAAATGCGGTATTAGCCCATTTTAATGAGAACTGTCTGCATGCATCGCTTGTGACGCATCCCCTTATGGGGTGGGTGCAGTACTCAGTCACCTAAAGGCTGATGGGACACAAGTCCCTGTGGCTTACTATTCAAGGACTCTGTCATCTACAGAGTATAATTACGCTCAGATTGACAGAGAAGCCTTGGCCATAGTGGCTGGCATAAAGAAATTCCATGATTTCTTATACGGCCATCACTTCACGGTCTATACTGACCACAAGCCTTTGTTGGGATTGTTTACAACAACCAAACAAACCCCTCACATTATTTCTCGACGTATGCTGATGTGGTCCATCTTCCTGTCAGCATATGACTACACACTCATTCACAAACCTGGCAAAGAAATGGGCCATGCAGATGGCCTCAGTAGGCTACCTCTCACTCAAATAGAGGCAGATCCTGACCCTGCTATTAATATTCTTTCTATTCAGGAACTACCAGAATCTCCCCTCAATGCTAGGAATGTGGCTGCAGAAACTGCCACAGATCACATGCTTACACACGTGCTGACGTGGGGGTTGTCAGGATGGCCTGACACATGTCCAGATGCTACATTTCAGAGCTTCTGGCAAAGGAGGCACGAACTGTCTACCTTTAATGGGTGTTTATTATGGGAGAGTAGAGTAGTTATTCCAGCCTCCCTGAGGTCTAGAGTCTTGTTCTCTCTGCATGAGGACATCTGGGCATTGTGCGCATGAAAGCGCTTGCATGCAGCCATCTTTCGTGGCCTGGGCTTGATAAAGCTATCGAGGCCCAGGTGTATGGGTGCCAGGTGTGCCAACAATCATGGCCAGAAATGCCTCAGGCTCCTGTACACATGTGGGAGGAGACACAAAACCCTTGGTCAAGGGTACATGTGGATTATGCTGGGCCCTTTCAGGGGCAATTCTTCCTTATCCTTGTGGGTAGCCATTCCAAGTGGCTAGAAGTTGTACCTGTCTCCTCCACTACTACTACCAGGATCATCCAGGTGTTAAGAGGAATCTTCTCAACCCACAGGCTTCCTGATGTTCTCGTTTCTGACAATGGTCCTCAATTTACTTCTTGTGAGTTCCAGGCTTTCCTGCAGGCCAACTTGATACGACACGCCACATCAGCTCCCTTCCACTCTTCCACCAATGGGCAAGCTGAAAGAATGGTGCATACCACCAAAGACACTCTCAAAAGACTAATGCATGGCAGCTGGCATCACAGGTTAGCAGATTTCTTTCTTGCACACCACACCATACCTTGCACTACCACTGGGAAGAGCCCAGCTGAACTACACTGGGGCCGCTGCCTCAAAACAAAGTTAGACAGACTGCATCCAGACCGGGTGGCATCACAGGTATCACAGCCGCGGGCTCCTTGGAGACTCCAGCTGGGCAATCTGGTCTGGGTGAGGAACTATGGTCCTGGACATCTCTGGGTCTCTGCTGTCATCTGTAAGATCTCAGGACCGCTATCATATGAAGTGACCTTGGGAGACAGCTGCGTCCTTCAGCATCGCATCGACCAACTGCGCTGGCAGTTGTCCCCTGGCATTGCCGCCCCTGCCTCTGCTTTTTGGGGGGAGGGGGGGAGGGGGCCCAGGAATTTGGTCACACTTCAGGTCAACCTTCTAAGACATAATCTCACTGTTCCTGAGAATTGCCGCAGGTCACTAGGGATTCCCCAGGATGCAAAGGCATCCTCACGATTCAGCTATTATGCCGAATGGGAGTCCAGCTCATCAGCAATTGCTCTGAATAGAAAGTCATCCCAAGGGGTGGCTGGCGCATCCGCAAGAGCTCTAGACAGGAATTCTCCTGAGAAGGGGTTTGCCATAGAGGTGGCTCCTGACTCTGGCACCTCGGCCACAGGGGACTGGGACTATTGGGGCACTCTTGCAACACAAGTCACATCCGAGACAGGTCATGGGCTCGAGGGACTAAGTTCCCAGGAGCAATCCAGGGTAGTTGGGAAGTCATCAGCTCCATCAGTGGGTTGGGGGATTCCCTCGCCATCAAGGGGACCTGGAGAGAGCCCAGATAACTTAACTAACATGTCTCAACAGAGGTCACCTGCAACTTATGAATATCAAAGTCCTGGTCTAGCAAGCCCACCAGACGGGCTGATAGGCCAGGCACCCTTAGGTACAAGTCCTGGTCTGCCTAGCCGGGCAGGTGAGCTAACAGGCCAGGCACCCTCCCTGACCTTGTGTAGGTCACAACGGGCTAAGGTCCCTCCTAAGCATCTAGGTAAATATGTGAGGTTCCTGTCAGTACAAAGGGACCTTGATGTATGGAACAAGGTAATGGAACCTACGCTGGTAGAAGATAGATACATTTAGTCTACACTAAAGGGTGGTGGGTTGTTAGATAATCTTTTTTTATTGAAAAGTTTTATACAAGTTTTTAACAATATCCCCCCTAGAATAACCCCCTCCCTCCCCCCTCACTTCCCAGAGCTGGTTAGAGGGTTACAAATAAACAAGCAAATTCTAAATAAACTTATCCAACTATATAAATAATAAAATCAATAATGTACTTTAACTCGAATACAAAAAAAATAACAATATAAGCATTTCCAAATTGAAAACTAAAAATTATTCATAATCTACATAATATTTTTTAAACCCATATCAGCTCTAACCCATATTTACTCTACATGTAATTTATCCATCTTCTCCTTGCTGGGGTGTATATTTCTTTTAAACAACCATTCATCCATAATAAACACAAAATTTTCCCTCCAATATAACCTAACCAACAAACTTACATTTGATAAACTTGGCTCTTTGCTTTTTACCCCTAAGAAAATCTATTAATACCCTCCTACTTAAGAAGTTTCAGCAAACCATTCATCTTAATCACTAAAATTCTCACCAACAGAGATCATTAGAATTTAAATTCTTTTACACATTTACCCATAATACCTCATAATTATTTTTCACTTTAAATTAAGAATTTATAATCTTATTATTTTATAAGAATGTTGTCTACGTCTGAGCAGAAATATTATTTCCTCTTTTTATTACTTTTTTTAGTATTATTAATGTGAACAATTGGAATTGTGTGTGTTCTATCTAGGGGCGAGGGGTGTTGTGTCCTGGGCCTGATGAAGCAACTCAGCAGGCCCAGAAATATTGCAAATGGTCCTGGGCAACCTAAAAGCTGCCTGGGACCAGACTGGCTGGCGCTGGAGTTCTGCGCATGCGCAAGGCGCGAAGAAAGAGGGATTCCGATTGGCGGGACTGCCTGGGGGTTGGAAAACTATAAAAGGCCTGTGTGCCTGTTTGCAGAATGAGTGAAGTGGAGTTACTAGCAATAAAGGAGTTTGATTCCAACATGTGTTGTGCTTCGATGCCTCTAATCCCAAAACACAAAACTATCCTTAAACTGGGATCCAGATTCATTCCCTTCAATTACTTTGGTGCAAAGTGCAACTCTAGCTCTCCAGGGTCTCCTTCCTAGGATCTCAGAAACAAAGTCCACTATTTTTCCTCCTATACCTAATCCCATCAGACTTGAGTAGACATTGCTGCATTAAAACAAAGAATTCTTAATTCTGCAGAGCGAGAAGAAACACAGCATTTTTTTTTCTTGCTATCATTTTTCACACAAGTGAAGAGTCTGTTTTGGGGGGGGGTTAGGGGGGTCAACAAAATGATGATCCATTGGCTGCTAAAGAAATTGACTGACTAGTTTGTCACCAGACCAAGTAGAGACTGTGGATTCACACTTGCAACTTCCACAAAGGAGGCCCACAAGAAATTTGTAACAGTGTAACTTAGCAAAAAAAAAATAATCACAGATTCACAATAATAATCATAGAGTTTAATGAAGAATTCTTTATCTCTTATAGATATTTTTAGATAAATCCTCATATGTAATGGAGAAAGAATCAATGTAAAGGGACCAATGTTTTCATTTATTAGAGATCAAACCAAATTTTTTTAAAAAATTCATAATAATTATACTAGATTTTTTAAATTTTGTACCATTTAACAACTGCTCTCCTGTGAGCTTCTTTCACCTCCCTGTTTCGTAAACTGTATATCGGGGTTGAACAAAGGAGTCAGGACTGTATAAAACAGAGACAAGACTTTGTTAATATTTTGCAGGCCATCTGTTTTAGAATACATCCCATCAGAATCTTCATTTCTCGAATTAGAATTAAACGCTAACAAAATTCACTTAGGTATGCCATTCACCCTGCTTTGGCTGCATCAAGTGAGGAGGACATAATTATGGCAAAATTCTTTAATGTCCCTAATACAGTTTTAGAGAAATCCATCAATGTGATTATATTCTTGAGAAGCACAAATCTTCATTCCATTGAGGAATAATATAAATAATAAAAATGTTCATGCTAGATTATGGTGGTACATCCTTCCAATTGTACACAATTTAGCAACCACTTTTTTAAGGGCCTCTTTCACCTCCCTGTTTCGTAGGCTGTATATCAGGGGATTGAACAAAGGGGTCAGGATTGTATAAAACAGAGACAACACTTTGTTAATATTACGCAGGCCATCTGTTTTGGGCAAAATGTAAACAATCATTAAGGTGCTATAGAAAATGGACACCACCATGAGGTGTGAGGAGCAGGTTGTAAAAGCCTTTTTCCTCCCACTCACAGATGACATTCTCATTATAGTGGAAATAATGTAACTATATGATAACAAGGTTAAGAAGAAAGGAGGCAAGATACATACAACAGATATCAAAATAGTGACAAGTTCAATCAAGCGGGTATCACTGCATGCTAGCTTTAATATTGGATTCAATTCACAAAAGAAATGATTGATCTCACTGGGGCCACAGAACTTTAACTGACACATTAAATATAAAACTATGCCCATAACAAGTAAACCATTTATCCATGATCCAGCTATAAGTTGGATGCACACTCTACTGTTCATTAGTATTGTGTAATGCAGTGGTTTACAGATTGCTACATATCTATCATAGGACATTGCTGCTAGGAGGCAACATTCTGAAGATCCAAAAAGACCAAAAAGATAATGTTGCATTATGCAGCCGGTGACAGAAATTGTTCTCCGCCCACCATACAAAACATTGATCAGCATCATTGGAAGGATGTTGGAACTGTAGCAGATCTCCAGGCAAGAGAGATTACTCAGGAAGTAATACATGGGGGTGTGAAGATGAGGATCAGCAACAATCAGCAAAATAATGAGGATATTCCCAGTCATAGTAGCAACATAGATAAGTAAGAAGAGGCAGAAGAGCGGAACCTGCAGACTGCAAAGTCCTACAAATCCTACCAAATGGAATTCCATGATATCTGTTAAGTTTCTTTGTTCCCTTTTTTCCATATTTACTAGCTCATATCTGTAAAGAAAATACAACATTCATTTTACATTTTCAAAGTGTTACCCATTTCTTATGAACAAGGGACATATTTGTAAAGCAAATGTCAAACAATAGATTCATGGCTAAGGTGAGTGTAAGTAATTTTTCATGAACAATTCCATAGCTATAAAGCACAACTACTGTCCAGTTTTGGAACACTTGAGAAATAATCACTTGAAGACCAGAGGATGAATGTAAATAAGTAAAAGAAAGATCATCTATTGTTCTTAGACATTTCCAGATTGTTTGTGGAAATTCCTAGATGCATGCCCATATAATGGGTGATGGCATCTAAAATAATCATCATGAACATACAGTATTTCATTGGTAAAATTTTAGCCTTCGTAGATGTTCACAATTTCAACTATAATAAGTCACTAACATGCTCTCTCCATTTTCTTCCTGTTTTTATATGGATTTAAAAGCAGTATGTGAGTGCATGCGTGTATGTGTGTATGAAGAGAGGGAGAGAAAGAGAGAGATGATAGATAATTACACTCTTAAGATAGGGCATAAATCAAAGATAGAAAATCAAACACCCAACTTCACACTTAGATATTTACAATATATGAGAGAAGACTTGCTGAATTCAGTATAATTTAATTTTTGATAGATATGCATAGAACTTATTAACTTCATTCCGAGTATTGACTATCTTCTGCATTAACTACAACTATGGAATAGGATAAATAATTAATTATTTCAGTTCATATATTATAAAGTTATCAAAAGTTAATCATTGCTTATATCAATTTTCCAAATGTCAGTTTCAAATAATTAAACAGTTTTTTCATCTGAGATTAATCACTTTTTTTCATATTTGAAAGACACATTTAAAAACATTAAAAATAAACCATACAAAGACTTCTTAAAATCCAAGAAATTGGTATTTATTGTACCAAGCTGAAATGCCTTTTAACATAAGGCATAGTTGGCTTGAACTATGAACAAAGACACTGCTAAGGTTTTTTATGTCATGTTAGTTGGATCTGTGAAAATTTATCACACTTTTACTTACTATTCTAAATGGGGGGAGGGGGGAATAGCTTACCTTTAAAAGCAGCTTCTCTGTGTAGTGAGCAGCTTTACGACTTCTATCACTATCAATGCCAAAGTCAAAATAATATTAAAAAATCTTTTCTAATCAATATCATTAAATCTGCCTGAATAATTAATCTAAATCCTGATTGTACATTGTTTCTCTGAAACTGCATCATCCTTATTTGGCATTTATTTATAAAACAGCATATAAACTGTACTGTACATTAGTCTTTTGTTTTCCTCAGGGAAGATAACATCTCTCCAGATGCCAGTGCCAAATGAAATTGTAGAATCACAACTATATTGAGTGTATAACACCAATTTATTAAAAGCAATTAATTCCCCATCCTAAAGATTAGCAAAATTCTTTGGCAATCCATTCATTTCTTCTGTACTATTTAATATTATGAAATGAGGTTCAGAAGATATTAATTTCCCAATTCTGCTTACTTTCCTGAAAACCTCTCATCTAATGTCTAACATGGGTCTCTACATCGTTTTTTGTTTTTGTTTTTGTAGATCAGCCAAGATTAACTAGATATTACCATTTGCTTCTATAGAAAAATTCTTATTGTTTTTTTTGGGAAAATTTGATCCATATTTTTCATTTTGATCTAAGTTTCCACAAACTTCATATTTATCAATGAACTGAGGTAGTGTTTTCTTCCTATCTCTCTGTAGGAAAAGCATGACATCGTTTGCAATAGAAATACAAAATTAGAAATTTCTAATTCCATTTCACAGCTTTATCTTGCAAATTAAGTGGTACAAAGAGGAGAAAATTTGACTTCCGGTGGATCAAGCAGTGACGATGGCAGCTTTTCACAAAGCTGCCCATTCCTGGGTCGTGTAAAAGCCGGCGGGACTTTGACAATCAGCTGTCCCGAGGCTTGAATCTCTTCCCTGGGAGAAAGGGAAGAGAAGAGCCGCTCAGGTAGAGGAAAGAGCTCCCCTGGATCCCCATAATTTTGGGGATCGGAGGGTAGAGCTCCCTCGGAGCCTGAGCCAACTCCGCACTCCAGGACGTCTTTGTCCCGAAGTTCTGGGATGAAGCATAGCACTGCTCCCACATCTGCTTTTTTCGGAGGCTTGTAAATACTTAAATGCAGACGGAGCAGACCAGGAGAAAGTGGATTTAAGATTGATTGTGACTTTAACTCCTGCAAGCATCTTCTCCCCCTTTTATTGTTTACTTTCCCTTTTGAAGAAAGGGAAAGTGAAAGGCAAAATGGCGACTGTCTTTTTGTTTGATTTTGCAATAAAGTTAAAAGTTGGATACAGTTCATGTTTTAAATATAGAGGCAAGAATTTTGTTCCCTTTTTTCTCTTTTTCTTTTTATTACTATTTAAAGAACTGTGATATTATAGAGGCAAGAATTTTGCTCCTTTGAATTTAACAGAATGGCTTTAAAACGTTTGGTCTCTGTCCCTAAAGCTTCTATCTCCTCCCCAATGATTCAACCTGCTTCTCAGTCTAAACCAAAATCACCCCCACCCTCCCCTCCTCCTGCAATTTCTCTTAAAGACTTACAAGAGACTTTAAAAATGAATGCTTTGGATATTAAAGAGGAGGTAAAAGATCTTATAATTGCAGAGGGGGCTATTACAGAAAAACTATTGGAGAAAAAAAATAAGCAGGTCAGAAATGATATACTATTTGCGTTTCAAGGTCTTGCTCTGCATATTGAAAGGATTGATGATAAAATCGAGGAGATTACTGAAAATGCAGCAAGACTGGAATTTAGAATGGAGGAAGTGGAGAATAAGATAGAAATTACACAGGATGAACAAACTATCTCACAATACAGATTAATGAAGTTTGTACTGCGTATCAGGGGACTGAAAAAAAATTCCCAGGAAGATTAAAAGATGTTTATTGTTAACGATATTGCTTTTAACCTTGGATGGAGACCAGAAGTAGTTGGGAATGAGATAGAAAAAATCTTCAGAGTTAACTCACGGGTTGCCAGACAGAGAAACCTACCAAGAGATGTGGTTATTTACTTTTCCAGAAGATCTATTCACAATGAAATTATACAGGCTTTTTATAAACAGAGGTTTCAAATTGCAGCTCAAGATGTGATAATTTTAAAAGAAATACCTCCAAAAATCTTAAGAGGTATAAAAGACTTTACCTTTCTGTCTGATGAGTTAAAACGTCATCAAATTCAGTTTAGATGGGAGATTCCAAGAGGAATAGCAATGAATTATGATGGAACACGTTACAGATTAATTACAGTTTCAAAGGCAAGAGATTTTTATCACTCTATTCTAAAGGCAAGACCGTCTTCACCTCCAAAAACAAGGATAATTGAAGAGCCTGTTATGGCAGGAGCCTCCTCATTGATGGTCATGGAACAAGTGGTGTTGCCTGTACAGAATCTTGAGATAAAAGATCAAAGGATGACACAAGCTGCCCACAAACATAAAGAAAAAGAGCAGCAGCAGAAGAGTGGTGATAAAGTAGAAGGAACGGTTACTATAGAGCCTGTGGGAGGGGCAAGACCTAAAAGATCTTCGACAGTTGATCTTCAGGCTATGCTTCAGAGGCTTCAGGCCGGTGTAGATGGCCAAGTTCTTGACCTGGAATGTTAATGGTTTAAATTCATCACAGAAATGGAGAAAGGTCTTCCACTATTTGAAACAACATAACAATGACTTGATATGTTTGCAAGAGACTCTTCAAAGGACTCAAAATATCTGACAAATTCTCATCTGGGATCACATTTTATAGCTCCAGCTCCAGGGAAAAAAGGGGATGCTGTAATTTATGTGAACAAAAATTTATCGGCTAAATTAACTGAGAAAGAAAGAAAGATATATCTTTGTGGAATTATTGCTACAAGGCAAGAAAGTTCTTATTGTTGGATTATATGTCCCTAATCAACAACAGAAGCAATTCTATAAGCTTTTGCATGGGAAGATATCTCAGTTGGATTATAAATCTGTAATTTTGATGGGTGACTGGAATGGAGTTTTGGATATAACTATAGATAAAAAGAGCTCTTCTAAAAATTTCATTCAAACTAAATTACCCAAAACTTTTTTTTATTTGAAAGAAGAGTTGGAACTTATTGACATTTGGTGAGAGAGGAATACAAGTGATAGAGATTTCACCATTTATTCGGATAGACATCAGTTATTTTCAAGGATTGACTTCTTTTTGATTACTAGTGATTTTCTTTCTAGGGTGAGGAAGGTAAAAATCTTTCCCGGGACTTTGTCAGACCATAGTCCGGTGTGGATGCAGCTACATTTGGAAGATGGGAACAGAAGACCCTGGAGACTGAATGAGAATTTGTTTACTTGGGAAGAGTTTGTACAAAAATGTAAAGAGTATTTAAAGGAGTTTTTTGCTTTAAATATGAATAAGGGTACATCGATGTCCATGGTCTGGGATGCCAGTAAGGCGTATATGAGGGGAATTTTGATTCATTTAAATAAAGTTTTTAGGGTAAAAGGTTACAAAGACGTAGGGAAATAGAAGATGAGATTAAACTAAAAGAAGAAGTGCTTGCTCTTAACCCAACTGACAATAACTTAAAGGTTTCTATAAAGATGCTTAGGGAACAATTTAATATGTTGATGGCAGATCAGGTGGCTACCAATCTGCATTATATGAGACATAATACTTTTTGTAATGCGAATAAGCCTGGGAGGTGGTTGACTTATCAGTTACGAAAGAAACAGAAGGCTAGGATTATAGAGAAAGTAAAATATAAAGGTACCAAGGTTTTTCAGCAAAGTTTGATTAAAAAGAGTTTTTTAGATTTTTATACAAAACTATACTCAAGTGACAATATAAAGGGAATGGATATAGATAAATATTTACAATCAGTACATTTTCCTAAACTTTCTGAGAAACAGCAAAATGGGATGAATTGTTTAATTACTGTGGAGGAAATTGGTTTAGCTATTAAGCAGTTAAAGGTGGGAAAGTCTCCAGGAATAGATGGATTGACGTCAACGTATTATAAAAATTTATCTGAAGAAATGCTGGAGCCATTAAAGAAGCTTTTTAATAGTATTTTGTTGGGAGCACAAGTTCCTCCTTCTTGGAAAAGAGCGTTTATATCATTGATTCCGAAGGAGGATCAAGATCTTACAGAGCCTAAGAATTACAGGCCAATATCATTATTAAATGTAAATTATAAGATTTTTACTAAAATTTTGGCAAATAGATTAATGCAGGTTATGAAGGATCTGATTCACAGTGATCAATTAGGATTCATAACAGGGCGATAAATGAAATATAATGTAAGACAAATTATTAACTTAATTGAGTATCTGGATAAGAACAATCAGATTCCTGTGGCTTTTATATTTTTGGATGCTGAAAAAGCTTTTGACCAATTAGATTGGAAATTTTTATTCTCACTGGTAGAGAAAATGAATTTTGGGGATAAGTTCTTACATGCACTTAAAGCTATATATCAGCAACAATCTGCTCAAATTGTTATTAATGGGGGACTGACTGAGACTTTTAATATTGAAAAAGGGACAAGACAAGGATGTCCATTATCCCCATTGTTATTTGTTTTAACATTGGAGATTTTGCTGATCCAGATTCGAGAATCAGTAGTAATCAAGGCTATAAAGATAAGAAAGAATAAATTACGGGCTTTTGGAGATGATTTGGTTTTAATTTTGGAACAACCGACTGGAGCGGTTGATTGTCTATTAGAACTTATAACACAGTATGGGAAAGTTTCTGGTTTTAAAGTCAATAATCATAAGACTAAGATATTACCTAAGAATATGTCAGTTAATGATAAGGAAAGTTTGGTTAAAGCCACAGGTTTTCAGATGGTGAAAAAGGTTAAATACCTGGGAGTATATTTAACTGCTCCAAATGGAAAATTGTATAAGAATAATTATGAATTATTATGGGCAAAAATACAAAAGGATTTAAATGATTGGAAAAAACTGCAATTGTCACTGTTGGGGAGAATTTCAGCCGTAAAAATGAATGTTCTACCAAAGTTTCTTTTCTTGTTTCAGATGATACCTATTTTAAAAAAAGATGTAAATTTGGAGGAATGGCAGAAAGGTATCAATAAATTCATTTGGGCTGGGAAAAAACCAAGGGTTAAGTTTAAGATTTTGCAAGATGCCCGAGAAAGAAGAGGACTTAAAGCACCTAATTTG